CAGTGCTTAAAAATAAACGTGTTTTGGAGTTTTGAATTAATAAGTTATTTATTCAAAAGTTATTTATCCAAAACACGTTTATTTTTAAGCACTGCATTTAACTTCGAACAAGATCCGGATCCGAACAAGAACCGGATATCCGGATTTTCACTTAAATCGAATATTTTATCTCGGATCTATCTCTATTTCGGATATCCGGATACCCAGATATTTATTTATCCGGACATGATCGTCAGCCCTAATTAATTTGGACATTAGGCCTTGCTGACAAAATAAGTTAAAATAAGATAAAATAAAATAAGATTACACAAGATAAATGAGATAAAGTGATGCCCACTGGACATTAGTGGGCATTGATACGTACGCGATTTTGGTCAGCGGTTTCCCAGTGAGAAATGATTCGTCGATCGACGCCGAAATGATGTCGAATCGACGTCAATTCGCCGGTGTCGATGTCGTTTCGACGTCGATCGACGAATCATTTCTCTCACTGAGTTCCCCCTCGGTAGAAAATGTCCGGCGCGCGATCAACGATTTTGGTCAGCGGTTTCCCAGTGAGAAATGATTCGTCGATCGACGCCGAAATGATGTCGAATCGACGTCAATTCGCCGGTGTCGATGTCGATTCGACGTCGTTTCGACGTCGATCGACGAATCATTTCTCACCGAGTTCCCCCTCGGTAGAAAATGTCCGGCGCGCGATCAACGATTTTGGTCAGCGGTTTCCCAGTGAGAAATGATTCGTCGATCGACGCCGAAATGATGTCGAATCGACGTCAATTCGCCGGTGTCGATGTCGATTCGACGTCGTTTCGACGTCGATCGACGCATCATTTCTCACTGGGTCCCCCCTCGGTAGAAAATGTCCGGCGCGCGATCTACGATCGCTCTCTTGGCGGCATTGCCGCTCATTTGCACTAGCGCGCGATAATACCGTACAGATAAAGTGATGCCCCACTGGACATTAATGGGCATCGGTGCACGAGATTTTGGCCAGCGGTTTCCCCCTCGGTGGAAAATGTCCGGCGCGCGATCAACGCTACGGTCGCTCTCTCGGCGACATTGCCGCTCATTTGCACTAACGCGCGATAATACCGTACAGCCGCTCGATATTTTTCCGGACACCACACGAGATATTCCCGTATATGCCGTCGAAAACGCTAGTGATACGGTATCGAGATACGGTAATTCGTTACACAAAGGACAGAAATGCGTATAAAATGCATGTACGTACTTGGTGACGATCGTGCGTCTCCTGACGTTGGTATCGCAGCAACGGCATGTAACTGCGAACTCGCGCGCAACTGCTGCAACGAACATTTGGCGAGGCACTCCCCGACGACACTTGACCCGCGAGACTCACGTTCGAGCGGTAACGAGACCGCGAGGATGCGAAATCACGTAAAAACCACCCCGTAACCCGCCGCAACGCGTATATTTTCGAACCGATGAGACTTGCGAGTCGAGACGCGCATGCGCCGCGCACAACAGCTATTCCTCTTGCCGCTCTCGCCGGTGAGAATACAGAGCGTTCTAGAGTGTTCTCGAGTCAGGCCGACTCGTGGCGCCATCACGTCCATTATGCCGCGAACGTAGGAACTACGTAGCTAGGCTCCTTGTTTGAAATGGACAATATAATATTTAATTTATGTCCATGCCACACAACACACACACACACACACAGCGATGCTAAAAGTCCGTAGTTATGGCAATAAAGATGTAATTTCCAGTCAGCTATTGTGAATCTCGCCGGTTAGCCGAGCATCGATGGTAATTCGCGAGGATTCGGCGGGCACGCGATGATATCTGATCGCCGATCATTCGCAGACTGAGATCGCGGCTTCGTCCCGTGCTCGTCGCGAACGCGTATTGAGAAAAAACAATACGGTATGCGGAGCGGCGCGGGCCGCTAACCGACTCGGTCGACTGTCGCCGCGTAAATGAATTGAGAAAAAACAATTACGGTATGCGGAGCGGCGCGGGCCGCTAACCGACTCGGTCGACTGTCGCCGCGTAAATGAATTGAGAAAAAACAATACGGTATATGCGGAGCGGCGCGGGCCGCTAACCGACTCGGTCGACTGTCGCCGCGTAAATGAATTGAGAAAAAACAATTACGGTATGCGGAGCGGCGCGGGCCGCTACGACTCGGTCGACTGTCGCCGCGTAAATGAACTTGCGTACGGCGTGACCTTGTTTATTCGCCGAGCTCCGTAGACCGAGCGTTGGATTCCAAGAAATGACGTAGCGTCGTAAACACCTCACCCCCCTCGGTCGAAAACAAGTCTCTTCATCTATTGTGCCGAATTATTCGGCGCGGAGCAGCCGAGTGAGACGGGCGTTCCGCGTACGTTCCCGCGTCGCGACGCGATTATCCCCTGCGAAAGTTATTAACGTTTACCAACCGCGTTTAAGTGACTGTCGCGATTCGTCCTCTTAACGTTGATTTCACCGGTGATTTGCCGAAACAAATATCACGCGTGATTCGCAGTGGTAATTGCGATAAGGGAATTACATGTGTATACAGGGTGAGTTTTATTTCGTGAACCGGTATTTTACCAAGAGAGATGGATTACCGACCGAAACTATAGCTAGCCCGGGAAAGAAATTGAGAAATCTCGTTGTATATGTTTTAATCGTATAATATCTAATATATCTTGAGAGATATATTCAAATATTACATGACTGAAACGTATATAACAAGATTTTTCATTTTTTACCGGCTTGGCTACAGGTTCGATCGGTAATCCATTTCTCAAGTGACCGATAATCCTTTTCAAACGCTACGTGTTACGCAGTTCTTTTTACAGATAAGAGTTGAATTATTTTTGCGTAATATGCTTTGGGCTCTCGTGCAAATGGCATTGTTAATTCCCTATTGCATAACGGCACATTCAATTGTTCGCTGGGCTAATTTACGAGTGAGCGGACGAATACGTCGCGTTTCTTCGATTACGATGTGTCTAATAAAATGCGATAAATGCGGAAAATGTGCCACGGAATCGTCGCGTCGTACTTTGCTATTTAGTTGTAATCAAGTGTCATAATTGTAATTTAATATAATTTCGCGAGTGAGTGTTGTGTCAGCATCACCAAGAGGAAGCAATAACGGAAGAGCAGACGAAGGGAAAAAGGACTGAGGTAATCAACAACGGATGACGGCAGAGCAACGAGAGGGTGAGTGCGATATTTTATTTTATTTATCCATTGTTGCGAGATTGATCGACGGACAATAAATGACAGATCGGTACACGCGCGTGTAAGCAGAGTTACGAATTATAAGTCCACTTTAAACTATCTACATTTCGTGTCGGAGTGCGGGATAAAATTCTATTTATAATTTTACATGCCGCGTAATACGGGAAGCATTCGGGAATATTACAGTGTTAGATATTTAAAATGAATTAAGTGATATCTCCTTGTTATTGGTTCGATTCATCGCGAACAGTAGGTACCCGAGAATATTTGTACTCACACATATAATAAACTAGAATAAACAGACATATGTATGTATTTTATTATTTTTTAATATAATCATTCGTGCCAGTCTTCGAATCGTTTGAACCACGTTTTTGTTTCAATTTCTTCAAAACGGAAGAATATATTTTCACGTACGAATTTTGATTTCGTAAGAAACTATGATGAATACCAATTAAATTATCGTGAAAAAATTTCCGAATTATGTAACACTTGTATTCTGCAAATACTTGAAAGAAGGTAACAGTCGTTAACTAGTTGTCGAAATGATCACTATCGAAAGCAGTCTGGAAAACCCAGATAATTATGAGATAAAAGTGAATTCTGTGTCATGAGTCAAATGACACTATATAATTCTATTCACTGAATGCGAAAGGAAAAATACAAATACCTATATCAGCATGCAAAAGATTTCATGCCACGTGCCTCAAGAGTTTAGAACATTCCTTTGATAAAATTTAATGTTAATGATTTTTACTCGATAAATAAGTAGACAATTTGATAAGAAATAAAAACACATTTACATATCATTTCATTTGTATAGCAATATTTTATTGCTTTATTATTTATAATATCTTGTATAGTACAATATTTTCATACATATACATATGCATCGACAGAATCGTAGTACCTAATAAATAATATATAATATATATTATATAATAATATAATAATAATTTAACAACTTTAGAATGTGAATCGCCAGTGAATGTTCAACGGTAGAAAGAATTGTTAGACGACTTAGGCTGGCAGATGGTTTATTTATTCGTTTAATCCAGGATTAAACGAATAAATAAACCATCTGCCAGCCTAAGTCCAGGATTAAACGAATAAATAAACCATCTGCCAGCCTAAGTCGTCTAACAATTCTTTCTACCATAATAATAATTATATAATATTATATAATAATATAAGATTTTGTCTTTCTCGAAAAATATTAATTGGTTCTGCTCATTCTGTAAATTTATTTGAAAAATGATGTTCTGCTAAAAGTAGATTGAGTTTGCGGAACAATATATATATATATAAATTGTAAATATTGTAATAACAAAGTTAGTGATAACGATGATGATATAACATTTTTCTTTTTCATATTTTCAAAAGGTATTAATTAGAAGTGGTTGTGCTCATTCTGTAGGTTTCTTTAAAAACTCATTTTTCGCTATAGATATTTCCAACATAATTTTTTCCTCAACAGCACAAGTTACAAAATTGTTTTTAGTGGTACACAACATTACAAAGTTGGTTCCTTTTCTTTCTCAGCCAATAGATAGAATATTCTATTGTCTGTCCATTCCTGGACGTAACCACTTCCAAAAGTGTCCTATCGGCACGATTTTACTGGAAGAAAACGCCACGCTTGACGTTGTGCCGTTGTGTGCGAGTACAAAAATTGCCTGTCGGCGAAAGTTTGTTCACAAGGGGCAGACTTTCTGCTCGATTTTTCAATGTTGGACTTTCTTCTTTATACAATATGTATATACACGGTGAGAATTTTCTTTTAAAATTTATCTTGAAAAACATGTAATCGTGGGACAAGGTGGCATTTTGAAAGACTTTATGAGAATTTTGTGAAGTTTCACCAGTTATGTGAAGTTTTCACGTGATTGTCACGATAAAATGTAGAAGAAAATTCTCTCCGTGTAGAGAGAGTAAGATACCAGTTCCTTCCGAGAGGTCGATCGACTAAAAACTAACAGTTTCTAGACGGATTTGAAGTTTGATCTTCAGCTCGCTTTTGGTGCACAACTCTGCATCAAAAACTTCACTAAGTCGTAATAACTTAATATATTTTTGTAATATTATAGTATAATACAATTTACGCTTCCCTTACTTAATATCCTGCAGCTTTAAATATTGTCGTAAGAACACCCGCTATAACTGCTAGTACACATATTATCCATACGATCCGAAAAGCTGTGCCGCATGCTGAAACAAACGAAAAAATTTATTAAGCATAATATGAAAATGGAAGAGAATCGAATTGCACACATGCATATGTAGATTACAAATTCTTAAATGTAATACCACTTAATATTTGAGACTGTGAAGCTCATAATTGTCACAATAGAATTCATTTCTGAGCTATAATTATAATAAATATTTTATTTCTTTGTAATTATTTCCGTTAATGTTACGTCTTGTACGTGCCGTGCTAGCTAACCCGAGATAGCAAAAGTTAAGTAGCTTTACGAGTTCAGCGGTACTCCACGATGACCGATGAAAGAAATACTGCTAGCTAAATGTACCTATATTTAGTCATTTCAATAACTTTTTCTCAGTGTAGTTTATCTGTTTGAAATTAGCCGTATGGAGGCTTATTCTAGGTACATACATACGTAGGTATTATGGACATTTTCGGAATAGATTTTGATCGGAATTGTTCAATTATTTCCTAGATTTCTATTGTGTTTTCTGGAGTAAACGAAATAATTCCAATTGGAATCCATTCTGAATATTTCCATAATCGGTACCATGATCTCTTTTCTTTTCTTACCCCCGTACGACATAACTAAGCGGGATCAGACATAACAGTTCGAAATCGTTTCTATCAGTTTTTTTTTAACTGCCGATCGTCTGTTTATGTATGTACCTACGGAGAGGATTTTCTCTGAAAATTTCTCTTGAAAATCATGTGATCGTGAGACAATGCGGCATTTTGAAAAACTTTATGAAAGTTTTTTGAAATTTCAAAAACTCATAAAATTCTGCGAAATACTGTGTTGTCCCACGATTACATAATTTTCAGGATAAATTTTAAAAGAAAATTCCCTCCGTGTGTATATTGCCTATCTGATAGATAATTTCGCTAGCTTTCGGCAGAAGAAAGGGATCCTCGAGTCCGCAGGACATATCATTAAGATAATGATGATTTTACGTTAACATTTTCTGGCGTTTTTAAATTAGGTAAACCTTCTTTTAATTAATTCTAGAAAGTACTGCAAATATTTTAATAGCGCTTTTTTCTCATTTTTGTGACGCTTTACTTTCCATTAAAGAGCACACGTTGTCTCAAATCGGTAACTATCGCAAAACTAATATATTAATTTTAGCTTACTGTTCTCTTCTCTAGTTCCTATTATGAGTACGCCGGTTGACTGTTGTTCCGTCGGTCCAAATTCCGGGTAAACCGATTGAGCAGGCGTATTATTCAGATAATAATTAGACGGGTGCGGATACGGTAGCGGCGCCGATGGCGAAGATGGATAGACTGATACATGTGGATAGTTGTTGTCGATCTCTGGATTGTACGTTCTTGATGTAGGTACTCCTGTTGCCTCCGTGTATGAAGGGGGTGCAATATTGTTTATCGTATAAACATTTGGTTTATTGTGAACGTTCATGGTTGCGTCGTGGCGCTGTAACAATTATCGTAAAATTTGAGAAGAAAAGGAGAATCGAATAAGATATACATTTTTCTTATAATATAGAAAAAAAACTTATTAGAATTGCGATGAATTGATAATCGTGATCGGCACAGTACAAGATGTAACAGATAAAGATACAAAGATATAGTAAAAGACTTTTGTTAAAGAGATTTATTAACATATATATATATAATAATAATTTTATATAGTTTTTATTTATCCTTTTCGATGTATACCGGACCATTCAAATAAAAATTTTATAAATTGCTACACATATGTATAATACATGGATGTGAATGTGCAGATGTGTTTTATATATATTGACAATAGTTTAAATTTTAAACTGAGAAAATATATACATGTACTGTGACTCCTATTTATCATTATTAACACTTTCATTTTGTATTCTTATCAGATATAAAAATTGTCTCCGAAAGTCACATACACACACATTTTCCACACAATTATTTTAGAGATAACGGAGATATTTATCTGTGATAAAAAGAATACTTGGAATATTCAATACACACACACGCGCGTGCGCGTGCGCGACATGTTTTGTTAAATATAAGTTCATATCTTTTATAATGTATCTCATATGCACGATACCAAATTTACGTCACGCTCTTATCTCTATTGATTCGTGCTAAATTACTTTCAGCTAGTACCTTTATCTCGTTCAGTTCTTTTATCTCTTCCTGTTTGTTGGCTAAAAGCAATTCTTATAACGAATTATACGTGCATCACGCTTGTGATGTAATATAAAAGTTACACTACTTGCACAAAAACTGAATTTTCCGTATGTTGTGTCACCGACGAGCATGAAAATGATAAATAAAACATCGAGTACCATTTTAAACAGTACATATAAAAAATAACATAGTATCTGTCATGCGAATTTTTTACAGCAGCACAAATTCTATTTTCATTAAAAGACATTCGCAAATTAGAGCATAAATAATATCCACTCAACTGAAATACTATTTTTATCAAATAAAGTTTCAGTGCAAAAATGATTACTAAAGAAACGTTAATATAAATTATCGTTTTACCTTTGGCGTTTCTTAAATAATTAGAATTTAATAATAGTGTACGGGTTTCTATGTATCCTACTTACAATCAGTTGCTCTTTTATATTTTTCTTTCTCTGCTTTTTTTATTTGACTTATTTTATATCTGATAAATCTATTCTAGATTTTACTGTTTTTTACCTTGATATTGGTTATCTTCTTATCAACTAGTTACGAAATATCTCGTATACAATTATGCTATTGTCATTAATAGTTTATAACTGATAGCAAAGATAAAGAAAAATTAATAATCATACCTAGTATATTGTTCTTTGTAACGACGATGGTATTTTTAGCGTAGAAATTGTATTCTGTAACCAAATATACACACACACATACACACACAATATATATATATATGTATCGTGTATTGTCAATATGTATTTATAAAACTATGATAATTGCAAACACGTTTAAATGGTCCAATTGTGATTTTCCAACTGACATTTAATTCTAAAGCGTTTGGTCAAGAGTCAAGTGCTTGACTTCGGTGCAAAACGCTTACATATCAATGTTCTAAAGATAACACGTCACTTTATCTTTAGTCACTTTATCAGTCGTAAGTTTTTGTGCGTAATATTAAATATTATTTGACAAATTTTATATTAATCAAGCTTCTTATTGTTAGTCGACATTAACCGGCCAGTGTTTTAATACGGAAAATTTATTTTGAAAAATATTACCTCAGCCAGGGTCTGAACCCGGAATTGCCTAATTTTATATTCATTACCTAGCAAAGACCACCTAACAGTTACAAATTAACAATATTATAATTTCAACGTTATAATTTTCTATTCAACAATATCTATAAGTGATGGAGGAAATCTTATAAGTCGCCAGAAGTAATTAAAAAACTTCAGAAGATTGCTTGACTATACGACCGGCCAATTTTTAAGTTCAAACTCACGTCATTTCGACCATTGTTTGTGGTCCTTCTCAAGTGATGATTACGTCAGTAAATCAGTATGGTGAAGTAAAGGAGCCGATCATGATTTCACGAACGACAGAACATGACTGTAATATCTATGAGGTTCGGACTACAATGTGTTAGTCGTTAGTCAGAAGTTAGAACTACATTACCAAAAAGCTGTGTCAACCTTTTATCATAAGAGCTGGATTACCGACTACCTATAACTTCTTGTTAGCTGAACGTGCGCTGTAGGAGAAAAATAATTTGTTGACACATACATATGTATATTGCAATATTTTAATTATTATAGTCTTTGCGACCCGTCACTTCTCATTATATATGATAATATAGAAATTATTGATCAATACAAGGAAATTAAAAAGTAATGCACATCTCTCTGTATAGAACCAAAAAATTATATTATCATTTGCCTTTTTTGATCGTTGAATATAATGAACGATTCTCCCAAAACAAATTTTTAAATGCTAAGAAATTTTCAATGTGTATAAATAAGTATTGTTGTTTGAGGATGGTTTCGGACGCGTTACTCTAAATAATATTTTCTTCGCCGCAACGAACTTGAATACGATTGCTGGAAAACGTCGTTAGTATCGAAGAAGATTCCGACGAATTTTATTATCCACTCCGCAATATTTGTTGCGTGTTATCCGGCTGGCTTTTATTTTTCATATGCTATATTCTCCTTCTGTCACGGATTATACAAATCTCTATCTCAAACAGGTGACAATAATTATTTCAATATAGTGACTATTTTTACCTTGCATTTTTGTGATAATTGTCTTGACGTAATCATTCTTTACTTAGTTCATTACACTCAACGAGATTTTGTTAAATGAATGTTCAGACATTTGTTAATATTACTTGTATTTAATTGTAATGAGTAGAGTATAATTGCAAGTACATACGTCAATGTCTTTCAACGAGCAAGTCTGAGAGAGACGATTTATACGAAAAGATTAATTAAACTAATTAGAACTAAAGAATTTATTATTATATATAACAACGAATTGATGATTATTAATTGTCTCGCAAAAATGATATATTGCAATATGATTGAAAAGAAAATTTGCGACCAAGATTATGAGAAATCTCTTTATACACGGAGACGTTATATGGAAGATAATAGTGTTATCTACGATCGTGATTACACACAAGGTTATTGCTCAGAAGAGGGCTACCTACGAAAATTACAAAGTCTTTCGTGTTACCCCAATTACGGACAATCAGGTCGAGCTACTTTACCAATTAAGGCAATTTCATGATAGAGTAAGTAGATCCTTCGGACATAAATGTAAATACGAAAGGTACATTTTTCTTTTTCCTGAAGAAGAATCAGTGTCGCACAAATTCATTACAAGACTTACAAAATTTCTCTCGTAAACTTCATATAATCTATTACCCAACGTACTTAAAATCAACTTTACGTTCATACATAACAAACTGCAAATTATAATACATAAAATTAGAGTTGCACGAACCGTTTCTCAATCACGTGAAAATTACATCCGAACTAATCGAAATTGAATCTCGTTTACAGTTCATAATCTCGGGAACACCAATCTTAGTAAACAAGACAATAAACTTTATGGTGGTCCCGAATTATCTGCCGCAATTTTACGAAGTGATAACCAAAATCGGTGCACGCTATCGACTTAACATTAAAAACGTTCAAGCGTTAATTGACCAAACGATGCCTTCCAATCGGTCAGCGTTCGATTTTAAGAGCTACCATAGTCTCGAAGAAATCTACGCTAACATGGATGACCTGGCCAGGCAGTATCCTAGTAAAGTAAAAATCGTCGTAGGTGGCGAAACGTATGAGGGACGTCAGATCAAAGGCGTCAAGGTTTCCTTCAAAGCCAACAATCCCGGAATCTTCCTCGAGGGTGGCATCCATGCTAGGGAATGGATATCGACGACGACTGTCATGTACATCCTACATCAATTGCTAACCACCGATAACTTGGACATCAGAGATCTGGCTGAGAGCCACGATTGGTATATCTTCCCCTTATTTAATCCCGATGGATACGTGTACACGCACAACACGGTAAATCTGATTTTCCAACATTTACGTAAAATTCACTTACGAATTAAAATTACCGCATGCACATAGAATGAATTTTTCCAACTGCTTCCAGGACCGCCTATGGAGGAAGAATCGTAAACCACAGAATTTCTTCTGCACCGGTGCGGATCTCAACAGAAACTGGAACTACAAATGGAAAAGTAAGTGCTCGTATTTTCTGTGAACAGAGTGTTACAGTAATCAACAATGGAATTTGACATTTTCAGCTAGGGGTGTTAATAGCAATCCGTGCATGAATTCTTATGGCGGAAGTAAGCCATTCTCCGAAATTGAAACCGAGAGCATGTCGAAGTATATCAAGTCGATTTCCGATAAATTTTATGCGTACATCTCATTTCACAGTTTTAAGCAGCTTTTAATGTTCCCTAACGGCTACACGAGAAAGCATATCGACAATCACAACGAATTGGTATGAGATTTTAAAACAAAAAGTGCAACCGTTAAATTTTGTGTAAAAAGGAAATTATGTTTTACAATATATTATAAAACTTTATTCCTCCCTTATCATTATTATCATCACTGTCCTTGTCAATTATTCGTGGAATTAATCTAAATTTTGCGATATTATAAACGTGATAAATGATATTGACGAATTCAGATTAATCTATATTTGTCTTTTTTAGTATGTCATTGGTTTAAAGGCAATTACAGCTCTCAAACGGAGATACGGAACTAGATATCGAGTCGGAAATATTGCCGAGACAATTTGTAAGCAGACTAATTTTAACTTATCCTACTTATAACGTTCTTCCGCATACACGTAATCGAGTACCATTAAATAGTCAAACGTTGTCTTTATTAAAAATAGTAAATTACAAGTATAAGTTAATTTAAGATTTCGTATTTTGAAATAAGAGCAGAGTTGCAATTTAAAATCTAAAGTTTTGAAGATCACATATATTTTTATATATTTCTAGCTCCAATCATCGGAACCACTACTGATTACATCAAAGGTACATATGATAAACGTATTGTCTACGTGTACGAATTGCGTGATAACGGTCATTACGGTTTTTTATTGCCTCCTGATCAAATTATTCCGACTGGAGAAGAGACTTTGGACTCCCTTGTAGCCATATTTAAGGAGATAAGAAAATGCGAAACAATAGATATATAATTTGTAACTACTCATTGTAAATATTATAGTGTGACTTTGCTAAAAATTGATGTGTCGTGTCTCGAGACTCAATATCGTCGTCTGATGCGCGGCTCTTCGTGCTCATAACAGATGTTAATCCATTTTAATTTAAATATTAATTTTTTAGTCCAAACTATATGTATGACGTTTCGAAGTTCCTGTACTCGAAATTATAATAAATAAGATTTTCATGTGTCTTTACTCTGAAAGTAACTTATTTTTAACTTTCCAAATTTTATTTTATTTCATTTATATCATGTTATACTTTCTTGTCTATGTGTCTCATTAGTTGCAACCTATGAAAATTACTAAGTCCTCAGGATTATCTCGTATGAACGGAATACATGTACATGGTCTGTCCTTAAAGTAGTCGGACTGAGTCAATTACAAAATATTTATTGACAGAAATAATACATGCGCTCAATATTCTTCAAAGTAGGACCCTTCTGCATCCACACACCGCTGGCAGCGGGATTTCCAGCTCTCATACGCTTCCTGGAAGGCGGCAGCCGGAATGCTGTTGAGCTCCCTCGTCACGGCCTGTTGTAACGCTTCCACCGAGCCGTGATGGTGTCCTTTCAGGGCGGTTTTGAGGCGGGGGAAGAGGAAAAAGTGTGGTGGGGCAACGTCGGGACTGTAGGGTGGCTGAGGCAGGGTTGCAATGTTGTGTTGGGCCAGGTACGTCGCCACGCCGAAGACTGTGTGGCTCGGCGCATTGGCGTGATGGAGCCGCCAGGAGTTAGCGATAGCTGGGCGGACGCGGATGATGCGTTTTCTCAGCCGTTCAAGGACCTCCACGTAAAAAACTGCATTAAAGGTTTGTCCTTGTGGCACAAATTCCCTGTGGTTCACTCCTTTTGAATCGAAAACGCATCATCCGCGTCCGTCCAGCCATCGCCAACTCCTGGCGGTTCCATCACGACAATGCG